GTGAGTATATTCAAATATTCGTAGAATCCGTATCTACTAGTACTTGAACCCAAAACCCGCTCGTGGAGGGTTGGGTGTCTAGACCACTAGGCCGCGGGATCCCAACCTCACGTTTCAATATTCATACTAATTTGCTTTTTGAAATACTTTATAGATTTTTTACTATGATTTGTTTATAATTTTCAATGCAGTTTCGACAAATTTTAATAAAAACTTGAGTTATATTTTCTTTAGTCCGGTTAATAAATTCTTGTTCATATCAAACTTGTTTTTTTATTAGCGCCTCCTTGTGTAATATATTTATTATGAAAGCTTATCTTATATTCAGAATCTTTTTTGTTTGTCAAATCTGTTACTTAGCAAGAACAATCTTTGTCATAAATTTTTGTACAGACTAAATACACCAAATATACTAGTATCATTCAGGATACAATCGCAAAAAGTATATATCATTATTGCTATATTACTAATCATAGCTAAATCAAAAGTTTATCAAAAACTTATCGAATCGGCCAAATAATCATTTGGTTAATTTTACCAAATGTTCCAAAAGTAATGAAAACAGCTGTAAAACTATAAAATATTTTTTGAAGTTTTCAAATTTTGACCCAGCCGGGTTATGAAAACCAATTACAGCTATTATCATAATTTCTGGAACACCTGCTCATTACCCGAAATCTTTTTGGTCATTCAGTAAATTACCTAACTCTCCGGAAACTACATCGCTATCTTTGGACCTTCAGTCCAGAGGCATTGATATAATTTCTGAAGAGTTAGGTAATTTACCGAATAGCCAAAAAGATTTCGGGAAATGAGCAGGTGTCCCAGAAATTATGATAATAGCTGTAATTAATTTTGTATAGCCTTATTATAGCTACTGTATTTTCATAATTTCTGGAACACCTGCTCATTACCCGAAATCTTTTTGGTCATTCGGTAAATTACCTAACCCTCCGGAAACTACATCACTGTTTTCAGACCTTTAGTCCAGAGGCAGTGATATAATTTCTGGAGAGTTAGGTAATTTGCCGAATGACCAAAAAGATTTCGGGTAATAAGCAGGTGTTCCAGAAATTATGAAAATAGCTGTAAAAAAAAAATAAAAAATTTCTAAATTAATTTTTACTTTTATTTATTATAAATTCAAAATATTAATAGAATTTATATTTAATTATAGTGATACTTTAAAGATAAATGTTTTAATTATATTTTATATTAACAAAATAATCAGAACTATACGAACTTTCCCCTATAGATCCTCGTACCAAATTTCGAGCTAAGGAAACTCTACAGAATAATAGCAAGGGCACTAGACAACAAGGCCTCCTGGCTTAAATAAAAAGAAGCGGCACAAAAAGTTACCTTTAGATACTTAAGAACTTACTAATCCCAACCCTCGTGATAGAGTGACAGGCCAAATAGCTAATTTTTGCAAGAAATTTTCAGAAAAACAATATTTTGGAGGAATCGGCTTTGACCCTGTAGCGCAGATCACTGTAACAACAGACAGACATGTATTACGTCAAATGCCTAAACAAGTAAACAACATGTTTGATCAACAACAGACATCATATAAACAACAACCTTCACGTACAACAATATAGCTTCCAATATAGTCATGTGTTAAAATGAAAAGTTTTATCAAATTCAAAGACCTGTTTAGAAAAGACAAACAGGAGATTGATAGCCTATTTCAAGAACTCAAATGGGGTATTCTAACTAAGGACCAAAAGATTGCAACATGGCTTGGAATAGATACAGTAGAAGTCATAAGCCTCATTAGAAGAACAACTGAAATTTTTGACTAGCTTAGACATAAAGAAGCGACAGGAAAGGTTCTATCGACAGATGAGCTCGACTTATATAATCAACCCCTTTGTCGACAAGACAATAAAGCAAAGAATCAATCCGCAAAGAAGCAGATATTAAAGAAATATTACTCCTTACAAAATGTGAAATAGTCGATTATGGTATTAAGGAAATGTTAAACCTAATTAACCCAGATGATGAGTCAAAAACAAGTACCAATCTGGAAATCCTAAATCCTATCCCAGATACTGAAACCGAGACCCAAGCCAAAGTACAAGTGAATTACAAACCAAAACAAACTATGGAGTTAGTAGAAAGTAGCTCGAAGAAAGTTGTATCAAAGTGAACATGACAAGAAATAATTCCAACCGGAGATATTAAGGAAGAAATAATGAACAACTCATACCAAACTACAGCTCTAACACCTCAGACAAAAGAATAGGTATACAAAAGTACAACATGTATAACTTTATGGGATATTCCAAACGAAACCAGAGCAAACAAAATTAGAAAATACCTGAGTTTCTATGGGAGGGCTATAGTCAAACACTTCATATACAATGGGAAAATGAAAGCAGCACAGATAGAGCTAA